TACAATTAGTAAATCCGTATATTAGCTCTAATTTGTTGTCCTGGTGAGAGGCTATTCCCAGTGTGTGTGCTGTGTCCATGCAATCTGACAGTTCCCTGTCACTGCGTGGATATAATGTGTGGTTAGAGTGTGTGGATACAATGTGTGGTTAGAGTGTGTGGATACAATGTGTGGTTAGAGTGTGTGGATATAGTATGTGGATACAAAGTGTGGTTAGAGTATGTGGATACAATGTGTGGTTAGAGTGTGTGGATACAAAGTGTGGTTAGAGTGTGTGGATACAATGTGTGGTTAGAGTGTGTGGATATAGTATGTGGATACAAAGTGTGGTTAGAGTGTGTGGATATAGTATGTGGATACAAAGTGTGGTTAGAGTATGTGGATACAATGTGTGGTTAGAGTGTGTGGATATAGTATGTGGATACAAAGTGTGGTTAGAGTGTGTGGATATAGTATGTGGATACAAAGTGTGGTTAGAGTATGTGGATACAATGTGTGGTTAGAGTGTGTGGGTACAATGTGTGGTTAGTTGTGTGGATACAATGTGTGGTTAGAGTGTGTGGATACAAAGTGTGGTTAGAGTGTGTGGATACAATGTTGCAACGTATGTTCCGTCTCAATCGATGACATTGTCAATGGATGCAATGTGTGGACAGAATGTGGATACAATGTTGCAATGTGTGTGCGCTCTCAGTCTGTGGCATTGTCAATGGATACAATGTGTGTAGTAAGAGAGTGGATACAATGTTGCAATGTGTATACAGTGCGTATACGGAGTGTGGATAGAGTGTGACTACAGAGTGTGAATACAATGTTGCAATGTGTATACAGAGTGTGAATACAATGTTGCAGTGTGTATACAGAGTGTGAATACAATGTTGCAATGTGGATACAGAGTGTGGATACAATGTTGCAATGTGTACACAGCGTGTGGGTACAATGTTGCAATGTGTACACCGCGTGTGGGTACAATGTTGCAATGTGTATACAGAGTGTGAATACAATGTGTGGATACAATGTTGCACTGTCTGTGCGGTCTGTGGCATTGTCAATGGATACAAAGAATAGTGAGCGCCCTTACCAGCCAGCCTTGGGAGCAGACACTCTCTCACTGTGCCATTCACTCACCCTGGATCCTCTGACCGGCTGTGACTGATCTGCCTTCCAGGGACAGTGCGGGAACCGCCCAGGCTGGGGCTAGTCTCAGTGCAGGGGCATCAGCCCAGCTCACTCTACACAGCCCAGTCTGTACATGCAGCCCCGCCTGGCAACGCGCAAGCGCAGCCCGCCCCCTATCTGCTACACTGCCCATCACAGCCACAGCATGGGAGACATGGACTGGATGGAGAGAGAGAGAGAAGGGGAGAGAGAGGATGGAGAGAGAGAGGGAAGGGGAGAGAGAGGATGGAGAGAGAGATAGAGAAGGGGAGAGAGAGGATGGAGAGAGAGATAGAGAAGGGGAGAGAGAGGATGGAGAGAGAGAGAGGGAAGGGGAGAGAGAGAGGAAGGGGAGAGAGAAGGGGAGAGAGAAGGGAGAGAGAGAAGGGAGAGAGGGGGAAGGGGAGAGAGGGAAGGGGAGAGAGGAAGGGGAGAGAGGATGGAGAGAGAGAGAGGGAAGGGACAGAGGATGCAGAGAGAGGAAGGGGACAGAGAGGATGCAGAGAGAGAGGGAAGGGGACAGAGAGGATGGAGAGAGAGTGGGAAGGGGAGAGAGAGGGAAGGGGAGAGAGAGAGAGGGAAGGAGAGAGAGAGAGGGAAGGGGAGAGAGAGGGGGAAGGGGAGAGAGAGGAAGGGAGAGAGGATGGAGAGAGAGAGGGAAAACGGGAGGAGGGAGAGAGAAGAAAGGGGACAGAGAGGATGGAGAGAGAGAGAGGGAAGGGGAGAGAGGGGATGGAGAGAAAGAGGGAAGGGGAGAGAGATGGATGGAGAGAGATGAATGGATGGATGGAGAGAGAGAGAGAGAGAAGGGGAGAGAGAGGGGAAGGGGGAGAGAGGGGAACGGGGAGAGAGAGGGAAGGGAGAGAGAGGGAAGGGGGAGAGAGGATGGAGAGAGTGAGAGGGAAGGGGACAGAGAGGATGGAGAGAGAGAGTGGGAAGGGGAGAGAGAGAGAGAAAGATGGAGAGAGTGGATGGAGAGAGAGAGGGAAGGGGAGAGAAAGAGGTAAGGGAGAGAGAAGAAAGGGGACAGAGAGGATGGAGAGAGAAAGAGGGAAGTGGAGAGAGGGAAGTGGAGAGAGGGGATGGAGAGAAAGAGGGAAGGGGAGAGAGATGGATGGAGAGAGATGAATGGATGAATGGATGGAGAGAGAGAGAGAGATGGATGGAGGATGAATGATGGATGAATGATTGAGGGGAGATAGATGGATGGATGGATAAGGGATGGATGGATGAAGGATGTATGGATAAGAGATTGATGAAGAGAGGATGGATGGATAAGGGATGGATGATAAGGGATGGATGGATGGATAAGGGTTGGTTGGGTGGAGGGAGGATGGATGGATAGACGATGGAGGGAGGGAGGATGGATGGAGGGAGGAAGAGAGGGAGGGAGGATAGATGGATAAGGGAGAGAGGATGGATGGATGGAAGATGGATGATGGATTGATGGAAAAGGATGAATGATGGATGGATGGATGGAGGGAGGATGGATTAATGATGGATGGATGGATGGATGGATGATGAATTGATGGGTGGATGAATGATGGATAGAGGATGGATGAGGAATAATGATGGATGGATTGATGCATGGATAGAGGAATTGAGGGAGGATGAATGATGGAAGAAGGGAGGGAGGATGGAAAAAGGACGGATGGATGGATAAGGGATGTATTGTGAAAAAAGGAAGGTTGGATGAAGGATGAATGATGGATGGTTGGATGGTGGGAGGATGGATGATGGATGGATGGATGGTGGGAGGATGGATGATGGATGGATGGATGATAGAGGATGGATGATGGAGGGAGGATGAATGATAGAGGATGGATGGATGATGATAGAGGATGGGTGAATGATGGATGGAAAAGGATGAATGACGAATGGATAGATGGATGGATGGATGGATGAAGGATGATAGAGGATGCGTGAATGATGGATGGGTGGATGATGGATGGAGGATGAATGGATTTGAACCCATAGGGTTCTCATAATTTAGAAATTTCATTCCTATTGCATGGATTTGGCATTCTTAATTATATTTACACAATCCTAATTAAATTAGCTAAAATTAGATATAAACTGGCATATTGATTGTCATTTCATATGGCGTGGGTATTTGTACGGATTTAATTCTCCTACATGAAAATTAATATAGTTAACTATATAAGATTTAAAAAGGCAAGTATATCCCTTAAAGGAGCACTGCAAGAACCATAACCACTACAGTAGTGGTAATAGAGTTAGGAGGGCCCTGCGCCCCCTCCACCCTTCCATTGCCCCTCTCCCTGCCTCCACTACTAATGATGGAGAGCTGGCGTTCCAGCTTAGGGAGTAGTTAGGGGACTCCAGGCACTCAGTGAGATGAAGGGGTTACAGTGCAGAGACTGTCCATTTAATAAAAACAATTACTTACTGTTAATTCACTAAAGTGAGTATTTTCAGGAATTCAAGGTTACACAAACTTTTGGACCTAAACAGACAAATTGGTAGCATAGCTTTCTTAGATATGGCAATACATAGGACTATGACTGCATGGAGAAGATATATAACAATGAACACGTAGGGAAGATGTATATAAATATGACCACACGGGGGCGATATATATATAAATAAATATGGCCACATGAGGGCGATATATATATATAAATATGACCACATGGTGGTGAAGTGATAATGATGGATGTTGCACTATGGGAATAATAAGGTTATTTACTAAAAAGAGAGAATTGTCGGCAATTCAATAGGAGTTTAAAATTTAAGGCTTAACAAAGACCTCTTAGCAGGTCGAGACAGTAAAAGCTTAACAAAGACCTTTAACCCCTTAGTGACCAGGCAATTTTTCAATTGTATTACCGTTAAGGACCAGGGCTCTTTTTCTGCAGTGGCTGTGTTTAGATGTAATTTGCCTCTTACATATTTACTGTACCCATACATATTATATACCGTTTTCCTCACTATTAAATGTTCATTCTAAAGATACCATTATTTTCATCATATCATACGATTTACTAGAATAAAAAAAGTGAAATATGATGAAACATAAAACACAGCTGGCCATCATGCCCCCATGTCCCAGTTGGAACATTTCTGAAGCCAACCAATGTAATTCACCTCCGTCAAACCGTATGTTTTGGAAAAGTACACACCCTAGGGCATTTCACATGGTGGCATTTCAACACTTTACATGCACTAATTCTACCACCAGTCTCTGTCAAACGTTTTTGTGATGTCCTTTTTCACTCACACATTCATGTTCACTTTTTCACTCACACATTCTACTTTGAGCATAAATTCTAAGCTCCTGTTAGGTGTTACTGCCAAAGGACACCCCAATATGTGCTCGGCAACATCTCCTGGGTACAGCGATACCACCCATGCATATGTTTGTCGGGTTCACTGGGGGGTGCAAAGCAAAATGTCTGATATGCGTTTTTCAAATTGTACATATCTTCTTTGCCGATCTTCCTTATGGGGGACTTATCAGATATCCCAATGTATTTTCTTGACATGAGCGTGCATGTATTTGAAAAGTTGACACCCTGCAGTAGTTGAAGAACGCGTGTGGAGGTAACTGTTCAATCCTCATTTTCCCACACACACACACTGCTTTTTGACTGTGATTTAGGAGAGCCCGCTGTTGGTTATTGCCAGGTGGTTTTCTGCAAGGCTTCTCCTTAGGACACCCATGCCCCCCATGCATAGGCTTGCCAGGATTTTGGGAAGGTATGGTTACAATTGTATGACTTTTCAGTTTGAGTTGAAATTGAGAGTATTTCTTCTGATAGGCCTATCTTTAGCTTGGGGCTTATCACATACCCCAGTTTTATAGATCGCCACAAAAGGGTACACACTTTGAAACGTAGACACCCCAAGGTATTGCATGTGGAGTGCTTTGATGCAACTTTTTTCTTTTTTTTTTATAGCCAGACCAAAAAAATAAATAAATAAAATAAAACAGTTGAAGAACGCGTGTGGAGGTAACTGTTCAATCCTCATTTTCACACACACACACACTGCTTTTTGACTGTGATTTAGGAGAGCCCGCTGTTGGTTATTGCAAGAACACACCCCAGGGGGTTTTCTGCAAGGCTTCTCCTTAGGACACCCATGCCCCCCATGCACGGGGTAAATGTAAGAACCCCCCCCTAAAAAAAACAAAAAACCTCTGAACGGCAAATGTTAAAAAATAAATTAAAAATGGACCAGCGTGTGGTAGCGTTTGAAGCAGTCGCCAATGCAGAGTCCAGGCTGTCCAGGGCAATCAGGACAGTAATATACACTGTCTTTTCTCTGCCCCCTCTTAGAACAGACCCTGCATCTTTTTTGGGGATTCTGCTTTGCCGCAGTAGGGGGGATTTTAAAAATAAAATGTGTAGCCCCAACTCTGCTCTCTCCCATCACCGCCCGGGGAGCAGGTGCATCACGGTACAAAATCCCCGAAATGATCTGGAGCTGAAACTGTAAAAATCTCAGTTGCGTCCCGGGGTTTGCTTTTTTGAACAACAAGAAAGCGTTGTGGGTTGCAATCTGCATCAGGTAGATTGCAACCTTTTTGTACCAGGCCCTTGTCTTTCGTATAATTAGGTAGGGCTGCAGCAGCTGATCTGCCAGATCAACCCCACCCATGTGCCTGTTATAGGCCTTGATGCATACTGGCTTCCTTGTCCTCTCAGCTCTGCCACGTACAGGGACCTCCACAGTCCACTCAGTGTGGATGCTGGTAAGAAGGTACACATCCTTCTTGTCTCTGTACTTAACTGCCAACAGCTCCTCTTGGCGCAGAGCTGAGGTCTCCCCCCTTCGTAGCCGGGTGCATGCAAGTTGTCCTGGGAAACCTGTGCTGTTCTTTTTAATTGTGCCGCAAGCTACTGTATCAAAATAGTACAGTAGCTTGAACAAAGGGACACTTGTATAAAAATTGTCAGTATACAAGTGGTACCCTTTGTTCATGAGGGGGAAAAATCAGGTCCCAGACAATCTTGCCACTGGTTCCCATATGTTCTGGCAACCTGGAGGGTCAAGGTGGCTATCCTTTCCCTTGTACACCCGGGAGGCCTGAATATACCCATTCTCACTATCACAGAGCTTATACATCTTTACACCATACCTAGAGCTCTTGGAATGAACATACTGCTTGAATCCCAGCCTTCCCTTATACTTCATCAGGGATTCATCC